TGGACGATTCACTTTTATCCAAATGGGTATGGAGAAGATGATCATCTCACACCATCCAACTTCTTGAAACGATTCGCCATAGTGTGGAAAGAATGGATCAAGTGCTGCATCTGCCATATCAATTTTATCTAATCATAATGTGCGCGTTCAAGTTCATTCAATGAAAACAAATTGTTATTTATGGACTTTTTGTGTTTCTGATACATATTTTCTTGCAACTGATATAAATGTTCTGTGTAGATGTTGTTTATGAAATTTATGTTGTTATTATGAAGTTTACGTTGTGCAAACTTTGCAAGTAACTTGTGCGGATATTTATGTATATCATATCAACAAACCTTGTATTATAAATATATGAACATTGTGTTGTTAGCAAATGGATACTTTCATGTTATATAAGGACCTTTGTTCTTCATTAACTTGAGAAACTTTTTGTTAAGCCTAGCCAACTGATAAACTGGACACACATGAACTTTCAGTTGAGAATATATGAACCTTTAGTTGTGCATTGAGAATATTGTGTTGTACATTATTTGCTTACATCTGCATTTTGTCAAGCCTAGCCTACTGATAAAGTAAAATCTTGTGGACTTTTAGTTGAGAATAAATGAACCTTATATTATACATAATGGATATTGTATTATGCATTATTTGCCTATTTGTGCATTTTGTTAAACCTAACCTACTGATAAAGTAGAATCGTATGGACTTTTAGTTGAAAATAAATGAACCTTAAGTTGTACATAGAAAATATTGTGTTGTACATTGTTTACTTACATCTGCATTTTATCAAGCCTAACCTACTGATAAAGTAAAATTTTATGGACTTTTAGTTAAAAATAAATGAACCTTATATTGTGCATAATGGATATTGTGTTATGCATTGTTTGCCTATTTGTGTATTTTGTTAAGCATAGCCTACTGATAAAGTAGAATCGTATGGACTTTTAGTTGAGAATTTATGAACCTTAAGTTGTGCATGAAGGATATAGTGTTGTGCATTATTTGCTTACATCTGCATTTTATCAAGTCTAACCTACTAACAAAGTAGAATTTATAGACTTTAGTTGAGAATAAATGAACTTTATATTGTGCATAGTAAATATTGTTGTGCATTGTTTGCCTATTTGTTCATTTTGTTAAGCCTAACCTACTGATAAAGTAAAATCATATGGACTTTTAGTTGAAAATATATGAACCTTATGTTGTGCATAGTGAATATTGTGTTGTGTATTGTTTGCTTACTTGTGCATTTTGCCAAGCCCAGCTTACTAATAACGTAGAATCTTATGGACTTTTAGTTGAAAATAAATGAACATTATATTGTGCATACTGAATATTGTATCATGCATTATTTGCCTAACTTTAGTATTTTGTTAAGCATAGCATATTAATAATTGAAATCACATGGACTTTCAAGTGAAAATATATCACAAACTTTTTTTCTTGCAACTGTCTTTAACTAGCCATCCTCCCGAGAGGCCACGAACAAGGAGGATAGAGTCTTCTAAAATAGGAAAATTTATCATTGTTCAAGATGTGGGAAGGCCGGACACAGTCACAAGACATGCAAGAATCCTAACCCAACATGAGAAGTGGTTACATTATACTTCTTTGGTGTACACAAGCAACTATAATTATGTATATGAAAGCATTTTCAAATAATATTTTGAATAAGTGGGAATCACAAATATTTTTTGTTTGTATATATAGAAGCAACTGTTAGATATTTTGAATATAGTGACTAACTTTGCGTATATATCAGACTCGAAATATTGTATCAAATTTTATATGAGTACTTATTTTAGTACCTAGGCTAATACCAACATGAAATTATTCATATATGATGTAATTGTCATTCTTAATATTGGAAATGCATAGACTTCTGTTGAACATGCATAGACATCGTCTTATGTATAGTGGATGTTGTGTCATGCATGATCTGCCTAACATCATTTTGTTATAGTCTAAGCTAATGAAATATTGAAAATGTATGAATTTTTTGTTCAGCACACGTAGACATTGTATTATGCATAGTAAATATTGTGTCGTGCATGGTCTGTCTAGTCATTTTTGCTAAGGGTGTGTTTGGTTGGGGGGAGGGGAGAGGAGCGGGCTCCTTTGGTTAGATGGAGGGCAGCCCCTCCCCTCCCCTCCCCTCCAAAACCTCCCTCCCCCCAAATTGGGGGGGAGCCCCCTCCTCTTAAACCAAACAGACCCTAAAGCCAAAGCTAGTGAAATACTTGAAATGCATAGACTTTCTGTTAAAATGCGTGGACATTGTCTTGTGCATAGTGGATGTTATATCGTACATGGTCTATTTTGTTGTTTTGAGAGTTCATGCAGGTTCTGAATTCAAATCAAACAAAGGGCAAAATTGTACTTTTGGTTTAAGAAAATTGACAATAAGGGCCTTAAGGCCTGCAGAAAAATATCATATTCATTTAGGCCTAAATTGCAATAAAGTTTGTTTTAAAACCCTTAATGCCATTCCCCCAATTAACAAAGCTTTAGCTCTTGACTTGGATTATTGAGTAGTTAGGGCTAATGGGATCACTCAATTTTCTAATAAACTACAACAAAGGAGGCCTAGAAAAATAGTTCTACAAATGAATATTCAAGGCATGAATTGATAAATACTTGCATAGATGATTGGGTATAAAATTACCCAAGCTTTTAGAATGACATTTATTAAAATTTACATTGAATTTTTATTAGTTTTTTTTTATTACTAGCATTTTCATGTAAAACCCCCCAAACTCAATTGTTGTCCGCAAAGCAAAACAATAGATATTTACTTTCCATAATGACCCTTACTCACACTACTACATGTTTTCAAGAGTATGGGTTTATTTTTAGGTGCCACCTACAGCACAACAAGCCTATTGCTTTCAATCCTATAAAAGGCAGATTTGTTTAACCTTTTTCCAAAAAAAAAAAATCACTTATTTGAAGAAAAAAAATGGAATCTAAAGAAATGCAAATTCAAATTATTTTGAGAAACTACTTTTTGAAAATAATCAAATGCAGTGAATAAGAGAGAATGTTCATAAAAATACGAAAATATATGGAAATATCATAAAATTTGAAAATCACTAAATAATAAATCATTGTTTATGATTGTAACTAAACACAAAATAATTTTTTCTTTTTATAAAATCTTCACACAATAAATCAATTTTCATAAAATCTTTAGAGAATCTAAAAATCATTTATATTTTAAGTTTAAACAAATGGTCCCTAAAACTTCTAGGAAGAGGCATGATGAGATCAAGAGGAAAAGAAAGGGGGCCTAAAGAATAGAGAGAACATTTCAGAAGAGGCAAAGAAAGTGTAGTTGGTAGCGGGAAAGAGGGGTAGGGAGGCGAGAAAATTCAAAATGGCAACTGTAATATAAGTTGAGAGAGTGGTAGTTACCGAATATTTGGAGGGTAGGGTTAATGAAGAGAGAGATGTCAAGCTCTAGAAAGAAGTCCAGCAAATAACTGCTAGTCTCTTAACATTCTAGAAATTGGTATATTTTCTCTATATTATTGCCATTTCTCAACGTTTGCTTCAGGTTGAGGATATTGTGTCCGTCTATGAGATTCTCCTTGAATTTCATTGCAGTGTTTCTCTCTTTATTTGAATATTGTTGAATGAAATACTCCTGCGTAGTGTTGTTTATCATAGTAAAGTCTAAGTCTGATTTCCTGCCTGTGCTAGAAGGCTCCTATCAAATTTCAAGTCAGTTATGATTTCATGTTACGACGACGACAAGCATTATTTCACTAGGTGAAGTCAGCTACAAAGACTTCATGGTGCACCCAAAAACAATCCAATTAAGAAATTTATCAGCCATGCATGCTGCATAAAAAGATGGTAAGAGGAAGAAAAAAGGATATAAACTAGTAAATGAGGCTCATAAATGGCCCAAAATGGAAAAAAAGAAATGGGAAAAAAGTACGAACATTGCTTGGAGAATGTGTAACAGTGCATCCCTTCTTCAAACTGTTCCCATTTCCATTAAGGGCATTGAGATACCTTAATACATCAGGCTTAGAGTAAAATTTGTATCCATTCAATGGATCAATGTAACACTGCAACAATGAATTAATTTTTAGCGTGTGATAGACATTATAATAAAGGTAAATGCATTAAAAAATAATGATTGTATGAGTGATATTTCCTATATTTAGAAAAAATAATTAACAGAGACAAAAGGTAGAAAGCATAGGATAAAGCAGAACATTATAACAATTATGACAGAAACTTAATAATCCAACAACTGAATAAGAAGAGAGAAAAAATTCAACACGAACATGTATTAATCACATGTTCACAACAATTAAAGCATGTAGCTTTTCTACCCATGAAAATAATTATGCAGACAATTAGAGTATGGTCTCAAACAAAATGTCAGAAACCCCATCGTAAAGGGGGAGTGGTCTCAAACAAAATGCAGAGAATTATGCAAGGCAACATTATTTGAGGGTGTGCATCCATATTCCCATAGGACCTATTACATGATTATCTTCTGTAGTTTTTCCCCCTTTTTTGGACATCCTATTTTGAATCCAACAGATCCGTACATGTGTAACGTATATAACTCTTATAGAGAGGGGCAAAAAACAAAAAGAAAACCTCATGATTGGACTTCTAGCATAAAATTATTGTTTTGTGACGTCATGGATACATGTTTTTAAAATTTTAATCCACTGGGCCTATTACATGACTATCTTCTGTAGTTTTTGATTCGTTTTTCCGTGGGTTATCTTGATCCCAACAGATCCAAACATGTGTTACGTGTATAACTCTTACAGGAAAAGGAAAACCTCATGATTGGATTTCTAGCATGCTAAAAACATGCAAGCAATTTTAACTGAAAATTTAATTTGAACCCACTAAACTTACACTTCTTCTCCTCCTCCATCAATTAGTTTATTTTCTTTTTCATTTTTACTATTTTCTCTTTACAATTCTTCCTCTTCTCCCCCCCTTCCATTGCGAATTTCCCCATGTTTAGTCATGTTTTATACAGGGCTTCTCTATCCCCATTGCCCCAAGCTCCAGAGTTTTTTTAAGCTTCATAATTTATGTCCTTACCATCTAGCTTTGTCTCTCCATGTCCAAATCGTGCTCTGTAAATTTAGTTTGATTTAAAAGTACAAAGGAAAACTGTTAAACAAAATCCTATAAAAGTAGTTTTTGAACTTGAATATAAAAATTTAAATACCTTTTGCCCCCTCAAACTGGGGTCTAGCAGCATTGGGGACAACTAATCACGTGCCAAACGCATTGTAATATGAAATGAAATATGTATATATCGTACACTGAAGTCATAACTGTAAATAGGGATCAACTTCATGAATATGTCTAGGTGATCATGTAATGGTCCCCAATGCGTGACTCAAGCATTGTGGAGTTAGCTAGAGCCTAGAGGTGCCATATGATCAGATTTTGGATGTCCAGAGCAAACTTTCGGCTACATACGATAGCAAACTAAACAAAATGATATTATGGTTCAAATAAATGAGTTTGAGAAACATGAAAATAACAGTGTGTTAGTGGCAATGTTTATTGCTTCACTCCCGAGTAAAAGCAAGCTAACATCCTTAGCAATAATAAAAACTTACCACTGAAATAAAATAAAACACAAAAGGGATGGGCTAACAAGAATAGCCAATGGTATCTAGCTATAATATCTAAATCATTACTTCATTAAATTTGTCTACTACCTTGTACCCAGCTCCCATACTTGGACCACTTTTTCGTGTCCTGACGTCCACACTCCAGCCCTCAGGTAACCAATCTGGATGTTTATTTGCTTTCTCTACAATCTGAAATTGTCAACCACAACCAAGTGGCAAGTGATGATTATTTAGCAAAGGTTGGGGAGACCAAAAAGAAAAAAGTCCATATAATTTTTTTACTCACTTGCTTCGATTTGCCTGTACTGTTACCGTCCATCTCCTGATTGGTTACTTCAGACTTTTCAAGGCGCGTCCTATCCTTTTTCAGGTGGCCGGAAATATCTTGTAAAATAATATTTTCCGTTGTTTCAAAATTGTGAAATTTGTTGGAGCTTCATTATTCCGATTTATTTGTATGACTTATTCCATTTGACACAATCACTCTGACTTCTTCATTCTTCAGACAAGCAAACTCAGTTAAGTAACAAAGCCAATAGAAACTGACTCAACCTCAGTGTACTTGTCACTATCATATTGTGAACATCAAAAGGAATAATCTATTGCAGGCCATAATTGACCTTAAAGTTTCGGGTTTCTTCAGGGAACACAACACTGAGAGAAGAAAACGAGAAACAGTGATTAAGAATATACCTAGGCATGATAATTGCATTGATACATTACGAATTTGCATTTCTATTCCCCACGACTAAAGCCGGCTGCAAACACAAACTTTCCTGCTCTCACCATTTTTGGAAGAGTTCTTTAATGTTTTCAAATTAACTTGAGATTTCCAGTGAATTATGATTCATTGCAATATAGCAATAAAAGATGATATTATCAACTTTGCCTTAATTTCAAGAGCGAATTCAACCATATTTTTTTTCTTCATTCCTGCGCCGATTAACTAATTAGGGTACCGAATGAAAATTTTCCTCATCCACGTCACAAGTGAAAGAAATAACACTAAAACGCTCATTCACACTCCAATAAGTAGGTCCCAACAGGGAATTAAGCTAATCAGATATTAACAATTAAAGTAAATCGCAAAACCAGCTCGAACATATCCCGACGAACATTAAAAGCAAATAATGAGGTACCCTAATTACGCGACTGCTATTTGCCACTGAAGCTGCGATCGGCCATATGATCGGTAAACGAGGAACGGCGAAGGAACAGCTAGATCCGAGAGTGTTCCGAAGGTAGAAGTGCAGCAACTCTGACCGGAACAGACTTCAGGACGATCTCCACAGATTGAAGAAGAGTCCACAAATGGGACTCCAAAGCCACGTGTTCTAAACTTAGATGCACACAACGCCACGCTCACGGAGGTTTCCGTTTAATTGTTAATTAAATAATTATTATTATCATTGTTAATTAATTGTTCACGTTAAATTGGACCGTCTTGACCTTTGCACACGAGCCTTTTTAATAAATATTATGATATGATTGTGATTTCCTTTCTATTTTACTAGAAATAGATTGAATTACTAAAAAAAAATTATATCCAAATTCACATAAAAAATTTATTATCAAGAAGTCTTATAAAATTTATAAAATACTTTTAAATCTCAAATTTTATGCATTTATGATTTGTTTGGTTGATCTTCAATCGTCAATACCTTTAATAAAATTATAAATACATAGGATTTGAACCTTATATTTTATAAATTTCATGAGATCTTTTAATAATAAATTTTCTTACATGAGATCTAAATGTAATTTTCTTATTACTAAATTAAATCTCATGTGTTGTTGGGTTTATAGTCATTCAAATGCAAGAGAAAAATTTGTAATATGATATTAAATTAAAAATTAGAAAGAAAAGTGTAATGAGATAGGCAATTAAGATTCATTTTAAAATATCATTATTTAAGTTAAGAAAAAAGTTAGGACAAATAAATTTTAGTTCTAATTGTGTAGCATGATAATTGAAGAGGACATATAATTTATTACTCTTATCATGTCCGAAAAAATATATCAATTCTCAATTAGTTATAATCTATGTCTTCAACACTTAAAAAGTGAAAGATAGTTATCTAAATGTATCTATTAATTCTAATATATTATTTTGATGATAATATGATCAGTTTATTTAGATTGAGGTAGTTATTTTCTTTTGGTTGGTTAAAAAAAAAAGTCATTTGTCACTTTAAGTTTCTTAAGAAAATTCAAAGATTTTATTAGTCAACTAGTTTATATGAGTCTCCAAGCTCCTTGTAAAAGCTTAATGATCCATGCTTTTAAGTGTAGTCTCAGTAGTGGCTTGTGTTGGCAGTATGTAGCAAAATGAAGCCTGAGTCATGTTAAAAGACACTATCCTTAAGAGCTATTTCAACATACTAGTATGTTCGCATGATAGCCCTCCAGAACTAAATAGGATTGTCTTGCAAAAATGTCAAGGCAATAGAATAACAGAAACTAACAAGAGCAAACTCAAACAGCATAACACAGCACACGAAGGAAGAGGAGAGAATCGGCTTAAAAGCTCAAAAGCCAAGCACTAAACTCATGGGGCTCCTTGGTGTTTACAGATTCAACACACAGTTGGCCTCCGCGCACAATCTTGAAGCAATTTCAAAAACATAAAACCACATAATGCATAATTACTCGGAGGTTTCTAAATGTTAGCACATTAAGAAATCGGTTTTGTTTTTAACTCAAAAATATCCTCTTAATGGACACTTAGAAATGCTGAATTTGAATTTTGAAACTCTAGCACGTTAACACTGAAGAATTTGCAATTTTGGGTACATTAAAACATTGTTTGAAGAAATTAAATTCTGGAATGCCAGATTTAAAGGTTTTCAAATAAGCGTATTTTACAAAATTAATTTTACAATCTTGCAAAAATAAACCCGATAAAAAGAACCCAGTAGGAGGCAAATCGACTGTTTTCAATGATAATTTCCCTACAAAAGTTGACTCATGCGTGCAAGCTCACTTCTCCTCCAAGCCCATTTACTTGCCTATTTCATTCCTTAGTATAAATACACTAGGATCTTCTCTTGTGTGGGTAATGTGGGACTTGTCATTTTGACATAATCTCAACTATTCCAATAGATTGCATAGTCATTATCTTCCAATTTATTAAACTTCTCATCAATGTTGGAGGGTTGTTGGTGTAGAGCTACCTGTTGCTCACAGCTGACTGGCTTAATGCCTTTACTAGTCCTCCAATGAAAGTTTAGAAGTCCGGATAGTCCTTATAACCCTCATTATATGTGTTGCTATAAAGGTTGTAAGGTCTCCCTTAACTCCAGTTTCAGTTATGGCTAGAACCCATAAAGTGAGTTTCTGCAACTCAGTTGCCATAATTACCCTACAAGGTACCATAAGAATAATCAGTAGTATCATAAGGAGGAGGAGTATCAATATACCTTAGATAATAAGTGAGTTGAGCCATAAAAGTAGGGCTAGCTTCCCTGACAACGACACTATTCATAGAGCCATGAAATGGAAAGTGGCTCTATGAACAATGCCAGCTCCTTAAATGACTTAGTTTAGGCTACATCCTCATATTGTGTTGTGTGATATGTTGGATCATATATTTTGATGATCACAAAACTAAGAGAAGAGGTGTTTGCTACATGTGGAGATACATAAAGAGGCATGGAAGAAGACAAAACCTTAAGAGTATGAAGAATCATGAAAAGATGAAGATTTATAAGGTAAATTATTAAATTCTCTTAGAATCAACGTGAAAAACTTTGAGAGCTTAATTACATCTATCATCCTTGAAATGAATGCATCTTTCCTAGTTCATAAGTCTCATTTATGCATCTTAAGACTTGTCTTAGTATATTCAAGCTTGTGAATTATGTCATTCTTGCTTATTTTGGATCATAAAAGTTGAGTTTTTCACTGTCCGATGATTCACGTGTGATTTATTATGGTCCCATGTGTGATTTGTCATGTTAGGTATACCAATTGATGTTTCACGCGTGTTTAAATGCTCAATCAAGTGTATTTTGGTCCATTGAACTTGGTTCAAGCTTTAAAATGGATATACGGTATAAGTTTTGAGTTTTGGGTATTTGGATACTTGGAAATCATTTTAAAAATAAACTTTTACATTTGAGTGTCTAAAATTCTCATACGGTATTGGATTGTAACAAAACTTATACCATTAGTTAGCTTATTGAATAAGCTTCGCGTGGGTGTTTGAATCACTCCAATCGAATATCGAATGCGAAAATGGCATGCGTTCGAAGTTTGTTTCAAAAAGCTATCATGACAGCATTTTGCTGTCTTGACAGGGACACGTGCACCACGGCACATTGCGCGTAAGCCATGGTGCATGGTACAGTGGTTAAGTTGGCCTTTCTGTGCCACATGTCGTAGCGTATTGACCAAGAACCACAACACATGTACTAAAATATTAAAAAAATGAAATTTTTGGCTTTGTTTTCAAGTGTCTTGCTTCTCAAAACTTTTTCATGTTCCCAATATGTTTATAAATTATTAAATTTGATCTCAAACTACTAATTTTAAGGGTTTTTATGAGATCCCAAATATTTTAAAATTATTTTTAAAGGATTATTAGTTTAAACCCTTTTATATTTAATGTGAAATTAGGAGAAATATCCTTACTCCTAATTATCATTCTTTTTTTGTGATCATGTGGTAAATTTTAGTAATGTCAAGGTGGATATTACAAGATGTCCCACTAAAAGTAAGTTTAAATAGTAGAAGCATATATAAAATTGATAAAAGAAAAAGAACTATAATTAAAAATATTTCTAGTATCATAAAACAATTTGAATGTAAATTTGATATTATTTATAATTTCCTTTTATAGATTGTGAATTAAATAGAAAAATGAAGCCAAAATATTAAAAAAAATTGCTAGATTTTTACTGTTAATCATTTTCTCGTCTGGGTGTGTTATTTTTTTCACTGAGAAATAAGATTTGAATATAAATTCATATTATTTTTCTCAACAAATTTATATTTGTGATTTCAATTAATAGATCTTATAAAATTAACAAATAATATATATTTAAAATTATTTCTATAAAAACTAATAAATCATTGATTTACAAACTATAACAAATGTAAAAAACATATTTAGGAGTCATAAATTATAAATTTGAGAAATATTATCAATATTGTAAATTTGTAAAAAAAATTATTGTGATTGAAAAAATAAATTATTTTTTTAAAAAAATAGGCCAACCCATTTTAACTCGCCATTTTTATAGGTTGGGCTAGCCTAGCCTGTTTTTAAAAACAGGCCAATTCTTTCAACCTAACCTGTCAAAATTGGCAAGTTGAACGAGTTAGCCTGCAGGCTCAACCTGTTTTCTCGACTCTGACTAAGGCGCATTCATAATTTAGCATTAGTGTCCAAATCACACGTGAAAACCACTTTATATGTATGCATGAAATTGCATCCAGAAGCCTTGTTTTGCACTAAATAGCCTCTATAAGCAAAATCACACGTGAAGCACCTCGTACACATGTGTGAAATGACCACCAGGGCCTTGTTTTTTATTCTATAGCCTTTAGAGTCAAAATCATGCGTGAAGACACCCTGGTCCCTTAGGTGGTTTCTTTTTGGCATCACCACATGCAATTTCTTACTTGATTTGTTAGGTTTTTAAGCAAGATTTTGAACGTATACATGTGGAACTCCAAAACACACGTGATATGTCATCTTTACTTGTGAAACCTTCAAAACACATGTGATTTTGCCCTGGTTGCTCACAAGATTTTGCACCAACGGCTATAATCATTATGCAACGTCTATAAATAATCATTTGATATCTCTAACACTTATTTCACTCGATGAACTATAAATTTAACACTCCAAACTAATCTGAACATGAGATTAACTTTAGAAATCATCAAGCTATGAAATTCATGTTCATATTACTCTTACTATATGAAAGTCATTGTTTCTTGAGCTAATATCTATATCTTTATCATTTGAGTATTTGAGCTTCATTGTACTCATAATTACTCTTAGAGAGAGTTTCAATTGAGTGATTTACTTACTCAAAATCATTGTAGAGGTGAGGGAGAGATTTCCTTTGGAATCAAGAGAGGTTTTTCTCTTAGGAAAAGAAGCTCACTAGTAAAGTGAGTTGTTGTAAAGGCTCATAAGTGCCTAAACTGAACTTATGGATGTATTGAGGTGGCAAGCACCCACTCAAGCTTGTGTTATAATGGAGGAATCTCAAATAGTTGCTTCGGGACTGGATGTAGGCTCAAGAAGTGGAGTTGAACCAAGATATATCATTGTTTGCAATCTCTCTTCTCTTATCTCTTTATATTTCCAGCAATATTGGT